CTCTCTCTCTCTCTCTCTCTCTCTCTCTCTCTCTCTCTCTCTCTCTCACACACACACACACACACACACACACACACACACACACTGCTAAATCTGTTGTGATCGTTCTATTGGAAACATCTCTTTACATGTGCACCTCCCCTCTTATCTGCAACCTCACTGAGAGCAGAAAGCATATTTTGTTTCACCCCCACCTTCCCTCAGTGTGTGGCATACAGTGGTGTGTAGTCAATAAATGTCAAATACCTGGTTGTCAGTTCACCATGGATGCGGAAAGAACACAGGCACCTTGGACAGATGTAAGAAAGGTGGTTGGGAACCTCAGGGGAGTCCTGAGGCCAAATCAGAGAAGTCACATGCTGTTGCCCTGGTGTGGCTGAGGTGTGGGCCTCCATCCTGGGTGCAGGTAGGTGGAGGTGGGGGCTGGCAGAAGCACATAGGATCCAGAGGGCAGGAGCCAGGGCCCAGCCTTTTCTTTCTGACTGCTCCCTCTAAGTTTCCAATCAAGGGCAGGCTCAGAATAACTTAACCAGAGCTACCATTTATTGAGTTTGTGCCATGTGCTCTATACTATGTTAGGCATTTTATTTATAGTACTCATAGCTTCACAACTGCTTTGAGAGGTAAGCACTATTACTCCTATTTTACAGATTAGGAAACTGAGGTGCAGAGAGGTCAAGAAATCTTGCTCAATGTCCACCCATGTGGGAATTGTTAGAATCCAGTTTCAAATCCAGGCCAATCCGATTCCATTGCTCTTTCCTTGCTATTTTCATTACTCTATAGCTGGGAAGTCTGATGGTCTGGATCAGTAGACCTTCAGGTTTCCCAATGAAATCCGCAGGCCTAGACAATGCCTGAACCCAAAGTTCAACAGTGGGGTCAGGAGCTATACTTTTGCAAGTCACAGACAGCAACACTTTTCTCCTTAGCTTATTCTAAGGTGGTGGTGGTGTGTGTAGGGGGGTGGGGAGAGACGGATCATACTGCATTCATCTGAGACCCTGGGGGATCAGGTTGGGAAAACAGCTGTAAACTGGCAAGGGCAGAATTAGTTGATGGACAGGGGAAGTGAGAGTCATTGTTTTGCAGCCCAAATGGGTGGCAATCACATGCAGAGACTGTTGGCCAGGGCTCAGGGGTAAGGAGGTCAGGAGGCAGCCAAAAGATCCTGCAGGATGGGGTAGTAGTTGAGGTCAGACTGACTATGGTGCCTGGAGCAGGAGAGACGGAAGGTCTTGAAACTCTTGAAAGGCACCTGGGAAAAGAGTCCCACAGACAAGCACTCACCCGGGCTGCCACTTTGACAGGCACAGCCTCTGATCCCAGGTTCTCTTTGAGTATGGCAACCCATTATTTATCATTTTACTTTTCTCCACTTCACTTTTCTCATCTAAAAAGTGAGAGGATTGAACTACAAAGTCTGTAATTCTTTATGTCTATTACCTCCCACCTAGAAGTCAATTTTGCTCTTTAGGTGTCAGCCTGCATGATAAATAGGTGTTCTTTAGTGCGTCACATTTGGCTTTCTAGTTTCTGTACACTCAGCAATGATTTATAAAAAGTATTTTATTGCTGTCCAGCCAGCGTAGCCCAGTGGTTGAGTGTCGACCTATGAACCAGGAGGTCACAATTCAATTCCTGGTCAGGGCACATGCCTGGGTTGCGGGCTCAATCCCTAGTGTGGGGCATGCAGGAGGCAGCCGATCAGTGATTCTCTCTCATCATTGATATTTTTATCTCTCTCCCTCTCCCTTCTTCTTTGAAATCAATAAAAAATATTTTAAAGGTATTTTATTGTTGATAGTATTACAGATATCTCCCATTCCCCCCTTTTTCTCCTCCCAGTCCCTACCCGCACCCCCCTACCCCCCAGGTCTGTGGGCTATGCATATAAGTATATAAGTTTTATGGTTTATCTCTTCTTGTCCCCTCAACCTCACATCAAGGCATGTCAGTCTGTTCCATGCCTCCATGCTTCATGTATTACTTTGTTGGACAATTGATTTTGTTCACTAGATTCCACAAATAAGTGAGGTCATGTGATAGTTGTCTTTCTCGGTGTGGCTTATTTCACTTAACATAATATTTTCCAAGTCCATCCATGCTGTCCCAAAGGGTAAGAGAGCCGTCTTTTATACAGCTGCAAAGTATTCCATAGTGTAAATGTTCTATAGCTTTTTTATACATTAATCTACTGATAGGCACCTGGGCTGTTTCCAAATATTAGCTATCGTAAATAATGCTGCTATGAACATAGGGGTGCACATATTCTTTCTGATTGGTGTTTTGGGTTGTTTTAGGATATATTCCCAGAAGTGGGGTCGCTGGGTCAAATGGGAGTTCCATTTTTAATTTTTGAGGACACTCCATACTGTTTTCCACAGTGGCTGCACCAGTCTGCATTCCCACCAGCAGTGCACAAGTGTTCCGTTTTTTCCACATCCTTGCCAGCATGTGTTGTTGTTGATTTTTTTAATCATAACCATTCTGACAGGTGTGAGGTGATATCTCATTGTGGTTTTAATTTGCATTTCTTCAATGATTAGAGACTTTGAGCATGTTTTCATATGTCTCTTGACCATTTGTATGTCCTCTTTGGAGAAATGTCTATTCAGGTCTTCTGCTAATGATTTTTGTTGTTGTTTTGTTAATCCTCACCCAAGGATATTTTTTAAAAATATGTTTTTATTGATTTTAGAGAGGAAGGGAGAGGGAGAAGGAGAGAGAGAGAAACATCAATTAGAGAGGAAGGGAGAGGTAGAGAGAGAGGGAGAGAGAAACATCAATGATGAGAGAAAATCATTGATTGGTTGCCTCTTACACGCCTCTTACTGGGGATGGAGCCCACAACACGGGCATATGCCCTAACGGAATAGAACAGTGACCTCCTGGTTCATAGGTCAAAACTCAACCACTGAGGCACACCAGCCGGGCCCCTTCACTGCAGAAATATTAATGTTGGATTACAGGGTGCTGTACCATATCCTACTTGGGTGTTTGTAATATACAGCACATGCACAATTGTTACCTTTTTAGAACCTGAAAATATTTGAACTCCAAAACATTTGGCTCCAAGGGTTAGTGGATCTGTAGTACTCATTTCATAGGATAACTGTAAGGATTAAATGCCACATATTAATAACTTAATAAATGTTGGTGACTAGTATTACTATACTGTGTCCTTTCTAAAGGCCCACTTTGTAGAAAGCTGTGAGTTGAGGAAGTGCCAAAACAATCACAGGTAGACTAATTTATGTAGGTGAATGTCAGGGCTCCTGATTTGAGCCAGATTGTATGCACTGGGTCTTGGTCATGCCTGGAGGACTGGTGATGGTCAGGGGAATACTTGACAGGGTTCTGGAAACTGAGGAGCCAAACACCTTCTTGGAAAAACAATGAGAGGGGAAAAGGGGGCATTAAGAGATACAAGTTTAAGGGAAGACCAGGGGCTTGAGTGAAAGGAGCGATTCAGAATACAGCAGAGTATTTCTGCCTCCATACTGCAATTCCCATGGACTTCTGCCTGCAGAAGGGGACTGCAAGGCAAGAGCAACTGGTCCTGGCAACTCAGCATCCAGCTGGGAACATCTGCGCTACAGGATTCAGCCCTCCAGTGGCTTGGGCTCTGGGCGGGCAGATGGTCCTGCAGAGAACACTGGGGTAGGACCGTAGGCCCACACCATCACAGCAGCACTTCTAGTGGACGTGGGTATCCTTGCTACTTCTGGTCGCCTACAGTGACTGGAGGGAGCCCAAGGCATTTGAGGAAGAATAGTGAAGAGGAGGAGCCAGGAAAATACTGTTTAGTGAACAGTATTCTGACTCTCTTTTTACTCCTAGCTGATTGTGACCTGGGAAATTTAGGCTTCAGATAGAGAATAGAATAAACGAAATAAATGACAAGAAATGGTTGTAAAAAGAAAAGATCATGTTTGAGTTGTAATTAAGTTGCTCTCAGATCTGTCCTTTTCTGAACCTGGCATGTCCAGCAAATCATGCCACAGCTCTCATGTACAGCGACACAGTGGGGTCTCTACTTTCCCAGGCAGCTAGTGGGAGTGATGGCCAATAGACAAAGACTCTCAAAATCATAAGGCAAGTGCTAGGAAGGGAAATTTTCCAGTTCATTCGTATAACTCCCAAATAAATCAGATGACATTTTCAAATGTGCTTTTCTTGGCCTAATGTTCTTTCTTTCTTTCTTTTTTTTTAGCACAATTAAGGGCAGATCAACTCATTGCAGCATAGTTAACGTTAATTTGGGATTATGTTAGCACTCTAAGTGCTTAATGATGAATGACTCATATGTCAGGCTGTGACAAAAGGCTTCACTCTTCAAGCAGAGATGCCTGGTTCTAGAACATTATTAATTTCTGAAGCTTAAATCCAGGATAAATGGATTTAGGAGGTTAATTCCTCTTCTATTATAATTCCTTGTAATAAATTTGGTCTCTTCTCTCCCTTCTTCCACTTCCACATATTGTCTGATATAGGAGAGAGAGAGAGAGAGAGAGAGAGAGAGAGAGAGAGAGAGAGAGAGAGAGAAGAAGAAGAAGAAGAAGAAGAAGAAGAAGAAGAAGAAGAAGAAGAAAGAGAGAGAGAGAGAAGAAAAACACTATTTTTGTAATGAAAAGTTTCTTCAAGAAGACTCATGTTTAGTCAAGAAGACTAATCCCAAGATTTTTTTTTATACTATAATATAATTCAGGGAAGAACCAGCGCTTTCTGCAAAGGGGTTTATTGAGGTGATTCAATCAACGAAGTATTCCTGAGGAGTCAGGCAGGCAAGACTTATGGGAAGGCTGAGGGGGTTGATGGCATGCAGGAGCAAGGACCTAACTCTGGGAGGGTATAGGAAACCATCCAGGTCTGGCCTGACTGCACAGAAGGACTAGATTAAAAATAAGGTGAGGCTGGAGTATGGATGGGCCTGAGAGCCTCGCTGGTTTCCAGAGGCAAGAGAAGCTCCAGGCTGGAGCTTGCAGATAGGCATCTGCCTAGGTGCTCCAGAGGACAATGATTGTGGTGATGGAGGTGGCCATGAAGAGCAGATAGAGGCGGAACAGCAGGGTGTCCATCATGTAGCTAAACTGCACCCACAGGCTGACCAAATGCTGCTTCTGAGCCTCATCTTCCTGTTGGCCCCTTGTTGACTCAGGGCACCCATTTAACTCTGCCTCTTGGGGACCTGGCACCTTCCCCACCAACTCCATGGGCTCCTTCAGACCTAAGGAGAGACAGAGACTCAGACATGGGCTGCAGAGGTCATTTGAGGATGGAGAGGGACAGGGAAGGAGGCAGGAGCAGAGAAGTGGAGGTGTTGCAAGAGGAAGTGAGGACAGTGCTGACTTCGTTACCAGGCAGTTGGATGGGGGTGAGACGCAGGCCCTTGTTACCCTTCTGGGGTGCAGTGAGATAGCGTTCCCTTGGGCTGGTGCAGTGCAGAAGCAGAGAATAGAGCCATCGGGGCATGGGTGGGGGCTGGATGGTGACCAGGTGCAGCAGGTAGGTGATGAAGACAGTCTCCAGCAGGCTGAACACCATCAGGGAGAGACACAGGGCAAAGTAGACACCTGGAGGGAAGGCAAGCCTATGTAAGAGCCAGTGGCAAGTCCCAGGACTTCTTGTTTCCTATTTTCTTAAAGTACCCTTTTTAAAGATTCCTTTTCACTCTGAACTGGTTCCACCGGTCTCTCTCCCCACCTCATCCCCCCAACCTTGCTTTTACTCTCCTGAAAGAGGGAGGGGCCATACTGATGAGGGGGGTGCCAGTGTCCGGGAGTAAGTCATTCATCATGAGCAGGAAGACATTGTAGCCCAGCAGAAGGGTCATCTTGAATGGGGCACGGTTCTCGCTTTCTGGTGGCAGGAAGAAGCTGAGGGCATCAATGGCAATCAGAAAACCACTGGGCACCAGAAGGTTTATGACATAGAGGAAGGGCCTGCGCCTGATGGCTACCTAGTAAGGAGAGAGGTAGCAAGTGAAGAGTAGGCTGGGAGGCTGCCAAGCAAGTTAAGAGCAAGAGTTGAGATTTGGCCTGGTCAGTGTGGCTCAGTGGTTGAGCGTGGACCCATGAATCAGGAGGCCACAGTTCAATTCCCAGTCAGGGCACATGGCCGGTTACAGGCTCGATCCCCAGTACAGGAGGCAGCTGATCAATGATTCTCTGTCATCACTGAGGTTTCTATCTCTCTCTCCCTCTCCCTTCCTCTCTCTTTGAAAATGAATAAAAAAATGGTGTGTTTTTTTTAAAAAAGAATTGAGATTTGTCTCAGCACAAACTGTCTAGTAAGGAAACGTCACATTCACTGTCTCTTCAACAAAGTCATCTTAATCATCACAGCCTGCCTTCCTAGGGTTTGATTTTTCCATACTGGTTACTACTGAAACATATCTCATTCCTTCTTGGCTCAAAGTGTCAGCTTTTTCCACTTACATTTTTATCCCTACCAATGTGCTCTTAGCAAGATCGAGGGACCAGATTCTTAGATTATCATGTGCATTTTATCCTTGTTTTTCTGCTTGCTCTCCTCATCAAGGTTTAATACCTAGTGAATTTGCTAATAGAATTTAAGACCAATGGGAGGGAAAGTAAGACAGTGGCAGATATTTTGGGGTCACTAGGATTTGGAATCATAATATCCCCAAGACAGTGTTTCATAACTTTCCCTTCCTCTCTTTTTATTTTTAAAAATTTTTTATTGAATTTATTGGTGTGACATAAAATTATATAGGTTTCAGGTGTACAATTCTACAGTACATCATCTGTGTATTGTATTGGTTGTTCATCACCCCAAGTCAACTCTCCTTTCATCACCATTTACCCTCCCCCCTCCGCCCTTTACTCTCTTTTACCTCCTCTCTCCACTTTCCCTCTGGTAATCACCAAACTTTTGCCTGTGTCTTCCACCATCTCTTTAAAAAGGTGAAGATAACAATTTCAGCCCTCCAAAAAGTTCTGATGTCCCTCAGGGTGGGACGCTCACTCTCACTGCAATCACTGCCATAGGAGCTTTGTGTCTTCGTCAGGGAGGATTTATTCCATCAATATTTGCTGAGTGCTAGATACTGTGCTCGGTACTGGAGATTTATCAGTAAAAAAAAGTGATAAAAATCTCTGCCCTCATAGAGTTTATTTTCTAGTGGAGAGCTTATGCTCTAGTGAGGGACATAAGCTATGCATCTTAGGAGAAAATCACAACCGGGGCCCCTGAGCTCACATAGAAAGTGATTTGGTCGTAATAGCTGTCGTCCACAGCCATCTTCATCATGGTCTGGCGGATATCCAGAAGTATCCACTCCCCCTTGTTCTGAATGAGGTTCTGTGATATGTTAGAAATCTCCTGCACATCCTTCTCCAGGCCCAGGACCATGGTCTCCACTGCAAAGAGATCCAGACAACTCAGCCTCTCCAAATGCTCCCAACCTCTTTGCCCAGACTGTTGGATTTCTTGCCACTTAGCTTCCACATCACTTTCGGTGAGATTCCCTCACTATACCCAGCTTTCAGTCCTCTCCTCTTCCAAAACCCTTTCTCTGCCTCTCAACAGACTACTGTAGATGAGCCTCACTCACCTGTGTACAAGAAAGAGGTGAAGCTGAGCGTGCAGTTTTGTTCATCAAAGGGGAAATAGAAGATGTCCAGGTTACAGATGCTGGTCACCTTCATTGGTTTATCATATCTGGTGTGCCCTTCACTGGTGACATAAGCCATGAGCCCTGTAGGTGTTTGATCCACATCCATGCTGCACATGAGAAAGAGGAGGAGGTGGGTGCTGTGGGTTCCCCATTAGACTTGGCCTTCTTTCTCTCTCAGGTCCCCTCATTCCTGTGCTCCAGCCCACTTGTCTGGTTTCCCCCTTCTACTGATCTCCATGTTCTGGGGATTTTGTAAGCTCCTCAGTCCGATTCTGCTCCTTTCTAAATTGAGTCTTTGGGTGGCCCCTATGGACTACGTTATGCTCCTCTGTGGAGAGATGGTTTCCTTCTTGCCTTTTTCATCCCTGGTACTCACAACTCATTGATGAAGATATCTGGAAGCCACAGGTTCTCAGTTGCAATGCTGAGCTTACTGATGCCCCCACATTCCTTTGGGTTCCACCTGATGAATGGATTGTACCAGATCTAAAGGAAACCAGGACATGGGCAAATGGGATGGGAACTAGTTTTAGTCTTGCTCTCTCTCCTGCACTTTACATTCCTTTTTTCCCTTTCCCACCCCCTCTCTAGTGAAGCTGTCCCAATGTCACTAACAAAGTAAAGCCTTACTTATGTCCACTTCTTTCTCAGAGCTTTCAAGGAAGACCTTGAGCTTGGCTTTGGATTCCGTTGGGTGGAGCCATTTAAATCTTGGCTTCCATGACCTTGGTTTAGTCTACCTTCTCCCTGTACCCCATCTCTTCCCTCCTAAACTGGCAGAATAGTCAGGAAGCTTTGTGCTTTCATTGTTGGTCTTGCTCTGTTTGAACTTTCTAATTCATGGGTATTCTCGGCTTAATACATTGTAATCTGCAAAGTTGGACCAAGGAGTAGAAAAAGGAAGGCACTATAGTAAAGAGGAAGCTGAGAATATCATACCAGATTTAGCCACAGGAATGATGTCATCAGTTGAAGCTGTGCATCCTGGAAAGACAATTTTCATCCAGGATCATTAGATCTATGAAGTCAGGTCCAATGCCACCACTCACCTCCTACTCATTTCTAAGGCTGTTCTGTGTGGCAATTATGATTTTTCAATCATAAGCCACTGAGAAATGTAGGTTAGATAGTCCAGGGCACATGGGAAACATCAGTAAAAAAAGCAGTATGAGGCCATTGGGATTATGTTTCTTGTGGAGTATTCCAAAAAGGGACAGACTTTACCTGCAGTGATATTGTATGTCATGTCCCTCTACCCATACTAGAATGAGCTCTTAATTTTACAAAACACAATCAGGAGACCCACAACTTACCACTAGATTATTGCAGTGTTGGATCAGGACTTACCACTTCCAGGATGGCAGACAGGGTGAAGGAGATGTTGACTTGAGTGGGAATGCTGTAGTTGATGACTGGACGAAAGGCCTTTCTGTCAAACACTGCTTGGAAGGCAGCAGGATCCACCCCATGCTGGTCAAACCCTGAGCAATTGATGGTAAAAATGTCGGCGCTTCCTATAGAGAGCAGAGACTCTGTGAGAGAAGTGCCAGGGCTGGGGCCTGGGAGTGTTTCTGCACAGTGAGAAAATAGGAGGCATGGGAGAAGCATATGAGCTCCTCCTTCCTGAGCAGGGAACATGGGCTGAGCTAGCAGGCAAATGGTGGAAGTTGATGAGGTGAGCTGAGTCAGGGCTCCATCCTCAATTCCATTGTTTCTGTCTCCATGCAAAACTTATCCAAAGGTGCATGCAAACTCAGCCCTGACCACTGCTCTTCAGGGTCCTGCTATGTTCTTAACAATATCACCACCGACCTTTCCACCTTCACGCAATTTCCTTCCATTGCTCATCTCTGTCCTTGAGCCATCTGGGTGATGTCTGTGACAAATTTTGCAACCACAGTTCTCTTCCTCACTATATTAATAAGGCATAGACGATGATAAATTAATGAAAAGGGGAGTAATCAGATAGGTAGTGTGAGATCAGGCATGTTCAGGGTGGTATGGCCTTACACACTGTTGGCATCAGGTAGGTAGTATGAGATATGCAGGACCTTCAGGAAGGAACCCAATTTTTCAATTTAATGAATTTTTAAATGAGTTTCTACTATGTGCTGTGATTGTTCTCTTCTAAAACTCAGTAGTCATCACCACTGAGACTACCTTTGTATTTTTTGTTAATCCTCACCTGAGAATATTTTTTCCATTGATTTTTGTAGAGAAAGAAAGAGAGAGGAAGAGAGAGAGACATTTGAGAGAGACACATTGATTGGTTGCTTCCAGCACGGGGATATTGAATCTGCAGCCCAGGTATGTGCCCTTGATCGAGGATCGAACCCAAGACCGTTTGGTGTGAGGACCTTCACTCTAATCACTGGCCAGCACACCACTAAGACTATCTTTTTTATAAAAAAATATATTTTTTATTGATTTCAGAGAGGAAGGAAGAGGAAGAAAGAGATTGAAACATCAATGGTAAGAGAGAGTATCATTGATTGGCTGCCTCCAGCACTCCCCACACTGAGGATTGAGCCTGCAAATCGGGCATGTGCCCTGACCAGGAATCAGACCATGACTTCCAGGTTCATAGGTCAATGCTCAACCACTGAGCCACGCTGCCTGGGCTGAGACTATCTTAAAGAGAGTTCCTTGATACCAATCTTATACCCAACCCCTTCCTAGTCGTACTTTGTGGAGTAGAAACAGAGAATGATGTGGTAACATCTATATTTATTTATCTCTGGTGTTGTACTATTCCTGGTTGCTCATTTTCAATAATGAACAGAAAAAATACTCTCGATTGGGAAAAATTATACTGGAAAAGTTTCCCTCTTCATGATGTCTTATTCACATTCTTTCCCTTAGCTTCCTTCCTGTTCCATTTCATTTGTTTCAAGAGAGCTAAAAAGGAATTCTCTTCTTAACATTACCTGATATCCGGAAACCATGGGGATGGATTATGTGCTTGGAAAGAGAAAGACACAGGGAAGAAGAGGCCAATCGAAGCAGGAGAGTGATGAAGTAACTAAAGAGAATAGTGAGCTAACTTTTAGGATCCTAGAAAGAGGTACAAAGCTGTCAGTATTATACGCTTCTGTTTTTACCAAAATGAATATCCAATCATTGGCTGCCTTGGAATAAGAATTAGCCTGGTTTCTCTGTTCCCCAAAAGCTATATGTCTGCTTTGCTCCTGCCCTTGTCCCATCTTACCTTGAAGCAGCAGGTGGAGAATGAGGCAGAAGAGGAATCCCTCCCCATGGAGCCAACCTCTTTCCATCCTCCTCTTCTTGGCTCTTCTCTGGAGACAGTGGTGATGTTGACCTTAAAAGACCAGAGGCCACACCTTGAGCCCTAGCTTTGAATAATACAGGTGTCGGGTGGCATTAGCCACCCCTCTAACAAGCACCCTTAGTGCTAAAAGAATGTCATGGAGGACTACCGACCCTGTAACCTAATTGGACCTGAATCTAGTCTCCAAAATTAATCTGGGAAATCAGTTTGGAGAGGAGCAAGCAAAAATATTTGGTCACTGGAGCAGTGCCAATGACTTCCTCATACTGTGGAGTCACTTTGGCATACAATGCATCCCACAGAAGAAACACAATGACCGCCACTGTCTTCAAGTGACACATGCACTTATTTTAACCCTCTTGCCATCTTAAAAAAAAATGGGGTCTCCTTGTTTTTATAACCAACTTTAGACTCTAAGGTTTTAAATATGACTCCAGTACTGACAGGTCTTAACTTTTGATTTTTTTGAGTGTATCAAAAACAATGTGGACCCAGGTCTACTGGATGGAGGGACTGATTAGTGGGGTAGAGGGGAGGTGGCAGAATTAATATTGTTTTTAGTAGAAATTGACTTATGAGGTTATGAACGATCAGCCTGCAAGTTTATGTTGTTTTGGGCAGTGCCAAAGTTTTAATGAAATTAGTTGTCGCCTGGCCAGCGTGGCTCAGTGGTTGAGCATCAACCTATGAACCAGGAGGTCGAGGTTTGATTCCCAGTCAGGGCACGTGCCTGGGTTGAGGGCTCAATCCCCAATAGGGGGAATGCAGGAGGCAGCTGATCAATGATTCTCATCATTGATGTTTCCATCTCTCTCTCTCTCTCTGTCCCTTCCTCTCTGAAATCAATAAAAATATATTTAAAAAAAGAAATTAGTTGTCAACATTTTGGAATTGGGAGATTTTACATAAAAACTGTGTTTCCGGATTCATTTGAAAAATATACAATAAATAAACAATACTGGCATCACGTTTCTGCTTGACAACAATATGCCAAAGCTAAGAAACAGTTAAGCCCTTTAGTGGAGCAATCACAGTTTGTCACCAACTGTTGTCCTGTTCCTGACCAGCTCCCCTCCTTCATGTTATCTGCTTGGCCTCTATAGGTGTTTGAGTTGGTTTTGACGGCTAAGATTGATTTTCTTGTGTGATTCTTTAAAACAAAAAAAATTTTTTTTTTAATTGATGAAAAGAGAGATAGAAGCATCAATGATGAGAGAGAATCATTGATTGGCTGCCTCCTGCAAGCCCCACAGTGGGGATCGAGCCCGCAACTTGGGCATGTGTCCTGACCAGGAATCGAACTGTGACCTCCTGGTTCATAGGTCAATGCTCAACCACTGAGCCACACTGGCCGGGCTTGTGTGATTCTTAAAGAGCCTCGAGAAGTAATTTCAAAATACCATTTCATGCCTAGGTGGTCAGAGGTCTCGTCAGATTTAGAATGTGCAAATATTTGGTTCATAGAGGAAAGCAGACATGGTATAGTTAAGTGGCCAAAATAATCAGTGGTTTAACCTGTTTTCTCTAGAATTATTTCTGTTAGGGAAGACTCCAGAGAGGGTAATCAGTGGCTTGGAGAACAAAGGGAGAGCAGTTGCGTCAATGAAGAAGCTTCAGACTGAGCCGGTATGGTGCAGTAAGATGGGTCTAAGACCAAATCCCGTTTCTGCTGGGATAATTTCACTTTCTCTCAGCCTCAGAGTCCTTATCTCTAAAATTTGGAGGATGCTCCAGCCGGCGTGGCTCAGTGGTTGACCGTCAACCTATGAACCAGGAAGTCACGGTTGCGGCTTGATCCTCAGTGTGGGGCATGCAGGAGGCAGCTGATCAATGACTCTCTCTCACCATTGATGTTTTTATCTCTCTCTCCCTCCTCCTTCCTCTCTGAAATCAATAATTTAAAAAAAAAGTAATTGTTAAAAATAAATAAATAAATACAAATAAATAAAACCGATGAAACCTATCTTGCAGGAGTTTTATGAGGTTAGAAATAATGTATGTATAGTGCCTTCCATCCTGAGCAATTAACAAATTGAAGCAGAAATAACGGCAGTAACAGTTGTTGCTGTTATCCTGGCTCCTCTGAGATTGCTTGGGTCACTTCAGCCGGAATAGAATCTTCTGGACTTAAGCTGTCAGTTTGACTGAAGCCACCCTGTTCCTATGAGCCCTTTTCAGTCAGCCTCACTCAATTAGGTACTGATAAGGTTCACCCCTCTGCTCTTCACAGCAGGCGTTCCCTTCCCTTTGTTATTTCACATTCAAATAAGTCTGAGAAATACTGAATTAAACGAGGCTAAATAGGGCTTTTTTTTGTGTGTGTGTGTGTGCTTTCGGTTTTTATTTTTTGGTTAATCCTCACCAGAGGATATTTTTTCCATTGATTTGTAAAAAACATATATTTTTACTGATTTCAGAGAGATAGAAACATCAATGATGAGAGAGAATCATTGATCGGCTGCCTCCTGCAGGTCCCCAACTGGGGACCGAGCCCACAAGCCAGGCATGATCCCTTGACCAGAACTGAACCCAGGACCCTTCAATCATGGGCCGACGCTCTATCCACTGAACCAAACTGGCTAGGTCTAACTAAATAGGCTTTATTTCTCAGAGTATTTATCTACAATCTGTTCATGTGAATTGAATACCATATACATAATTTTCCACTTAGTTGACTTTGAAAATTTCTGCTTCTCAGAATATCTTGCAGGACTAGCACTCCATTGATTATTTGGGGGGAAAATTGCATTAGTTAAATAGAATAAATCCAGAAGAAAATAAAATTACTACAATTTTGAAAAAATTATCTTAAACTTACTACAGATAGAATATAGCATGCGAGTTGCATATGTATAAATAAATAACTAAAAAATAGATAAGTATTTTATTATTATTACTAGAGGCCTGATGCACAAAAATTCATGCAAGAGTAGGCCTTCCTTCCCCCCACTGCTGGCACTAGCTCCGCTCCGGCACCTGGGTCCCCGGCTGCTTTGCTCTGGCCACCACTGCCAGGCACCCGAACCGGACCGGGGGCTGCTTCATTCCAGCTGCTGCCGCCACCCACCCAAAACCTGGCTGCTTCTCTCTGGCCGTTGCAGCTACCCACCCGGTTCCCTGTTTGCCATGCTGCGATGGGAGCCTGCGGGCTGATGGGGAGGGATCGAGAGGTGGTCAATGCACCTCATAGCGACTGGTCGAGTGGTCATTCCGGTCGTTATGGTTGCTGGCCTTTTATTATATAGGATTATTTGTTAATCTCACCGAAGGATATTTTTTCATTGGTTTTTAGGGAGAGTGAAAGAGAAAGGGAAAGACGGAAACATCGATGTGAGAGAAACACATTGATGGGTTGTCTCCTGCATAAGCCCCAACCAGAGCCCTGGCCAGGAAGGAGCCTGCTATCAAGGTACATGCCCTTGACTGGAATCAAACCCAGGACACTTTGGTCCACAGGCTGACTCTCTATCCACTGAGCCAAACCAGCTAGGGCTAGATAAGTATTTTAAAACCTGAAATTTTATTTGAGCTATAAAAATCTACAAGCAAATAGAAAGTAAAATATTAATTAGAAGCTGTTTCTGAATCCCTAGGCAATATAAACTTAGACTGACTCAAGGAGAAATATTTTCCCTTTTCTTTTCCTTTAGATCAACTGGCTGTCAGCTGCAGGCCACATATCATCCACCTAGATCTATATCTAATTTTAGGATAAGCGTTTTAAAAGATGCTTGGGTATTGTTACTTCTCAAATGTACTCAGTAATATTTTAGTAACTGAAAAGTAACGGGAATTTTTCTCATTAGTGGTCTTTGAATCAATAAAGCATACAATTTTTGTTTTAAGAATACATATTATTTCAGCCTGGGACTCCATAAATGAACTATTTTGAATGAAAATTAAATGCAGCTTGCATAGGTTTTTAATTTTTCTGAACTGACATCCATGCCAAAAAGGTTATCACCAATGTAGACCAAAGTTGTTTATCTCTTCTTCTGATAAAAAGCCAGTATTTATAAAGCAAAACATTTGGGAAGTGCCTAGACCTGTTTTGGGCAGAAGGTTCCATCTTGGCTGGATTACTGCCTCCCTTAGTGTGACCCTATTGCATCCCATGTTGTGGCCTTACAGGTGTCCAGCCGTACTTTTCAATAATGGAGGAGAGTCCTCATGTGCCTGTTACCATTAGAGATGCTAGACATACTGTATCATTTTATTCATTTGGGTAAATAATCCTTAATTATCACTCTAGGAGGATTAAAATCCCAACACATGTCTATGGGCTGTGATGCTTGTTGTTTTAGCTGAGTAGATTTAGATGGCTTGTTCTGAGTGGAGGGAACAGCTAGGGTAAAAACATGGAAATTACAGTGTTGTCAGGACCTCAGATTTGAGTAGGAGAGTGGCAGGAAATGAAGCTGTGGTATTATGTGGGGCCAGATCACGGAAGGTCTTGTAGACCAAACTAAAGTTGGTTTAATGCCCAGTGTCCCAAACTTGCATAAGGTTCAGGCCTATTTGAAGGGAAATAATTATCCTAAAGCCCTGATGTTTATTTAAATTTATATTATAATATTACTCGAATATGTACTTTCATGAATCCATGTATAAAGTCCTTCTACTTACAGCTCTTATGCTATTATAAAGTTAACTTTAATGTACAAATTATGTACATACAAGACTACAGAATCAACACAACACTAATTTAATGTGGTGGATAATATTGTTTTGTTAAAATTAGATAATTGCTATAAATCATTTTCTTCTTTTTAATAAGTAACTAAGTCTTGAACACCTCCATTATATTTGGGGCCAATTTGATAGTGCATCTCAATATAAGTACTTCAAAAAATTTTTAAAGCAATACTTTATTTTATTCTAACTATCAACTTTACTGCTAATGAGCTTGGAAAGTTATTATTACAAAGATGGTAAGTGTATAATACTTTCCTTCATAAAATGAATGTGTGATGTGACTTGTAATGT